TCAGAAGCTTTCGAAAAAATAGTTTTAAGTGCCTCACGAGTAGATGGACAGTCAGAGTATTCGGACATTCTATAAAAATATAACGTGGAAATGAGTATTCTTCTGTTAACTAAAATGATCTGATAATATCATGCTTACTCTTCGCTTGATGAATTTATTGAACAAGATGCAATTACTGTGAAAAATATTAAGTTACATAAAACACGTGAAATCTAATTTTTAATTATCGATATTGTAACTCTTACCTTTCCACAACTGTACGATACAAAATATAATAGCTACAAACGAGGCAAGAAGTGCGAAAGGAAGAGCCTAGAAAATGTAAGAAATGAGTGGAAAATAAAAGGACAACAAAAACTTACAAAGATATGCTATACAGACCTGCCAACCAAAAAATGCACACACAGGAGGTATTGTGGAATAAATGAACCAAGCTAGAGGTGCAAAAAATGACTGCATTTTGATGTTAAAAAACCGCAGTATTTGAAGAGTTCAAGAAGTGATCATATGGTATCAGGTAGAGTTATAAATTTACACAATATAGTACAGTAATAACTTACATATCAATATGAAATTTATTAAGTTTACAACCCTCATTATTAAATCGGTCTAATAGCGCGTGATCATTAATCAAGATTTAGATCAATGAAATAAAAACATGAAATTCAAACTGCAATAACTTTTGAACCAATAAAAGAAAAACATGAAATTCAAACTGCAATAACTTTCGAACCAGCAAACCCACACAAATAAACTTATATTTGTTAGGTTCATTTTAGTGTGCTCTGTAAAGTACCATCTTTTTCATTGTTTGAAGCATAGCAGAGGATTCTATTTTCATGCAAACTTTGGTCTTTATGTTTTTTTTAAATAAAAATATCAAAAAAGTAACTGCATTTTTTGTCTATTGTATTGTATTAGTATTGTATACCAGGAACGAATTTTAAGACCGGGTGTAACATAAAAATCGAAACGAACCTCACAAAAAAAAACAGGAATAAACCTGAATTTTTATTAGGAAACGGTCTAATAAAAAATGGTTCTCGTGAAATTCTATTAATAATCATCACATTGTTCTAACCATAATCCTAGCTATAACTCACATTCAGATCTGCGGTGCGCAGATTTAAAATTAATTCTGCAAGTAAAATTTTCTTTAAATCTGCAGATTTTATTGTGTCATATATGTCACATCTATTTTTTGAATTTTTATTATGTTTACAAAAATTATTAAGCTTTTATATTGAAATTTTTAAAAAAACTTTATAATTACTGACTGGGCTAAGCCAAAATTTTTGAAAAATTTAAATTAAAAAATTGTGAATTGGACTGGTCTTTATAACTGCAAGCCGGATCAGACTGGCAAAAGATTTTTAACCCCTAATTGTGGTCTAGGCTTGGATTGCAAAATTAGAAATTTGCAGATCTTTAATACTAGAAACTAATTGTATAGTAAGTAGGAATAGTTAGGTTTTAGTTAGGTCCTGATAGGTTCTAAATAAATTAATAATTTTTATGCTAATTTTTTATTTTTTAGTTCTTAATTAAAATTATTAATTATAAAATTATAACTAATTTTATTTATTGTCAACCCCCAAGTGGCAGGTCTAGAGTTCAAATCCCAGTGATGGTGAAAATTTGCAATTCTTTCTGTGTTACAGCTAACTGTCTTCCATAATTGGTTGGGATAGGATACTTGTAACCCGTGTCATATCAGCCTGACTGGAAGGTTTAGGCATTCATGCAACATTGTACAAAGGAACACAAACCGGTATCAGGTGGTGTGAACCCAAGATAAGTCCTTAGGTTGTGTAAATCATGGGAACCAGGTAGGAGGACAGAAGCTCACTTGGAAAGATCTGAGTAGAGAGGTAACCTGAATTTTCGACAGTGCTACTGTAAAGATTAGACCTATGAAATAGAGTTAGAACTTGTGAAACCAGACAAAGAGCTGGCCTTTGAGGAGGGGTCGAATGAAACCAACCAGGCCATCAGAATTTCCAGGTTTTAGAGAAAAAGATTACATGCGAGCAAACATGTAAACCAAAGGTGTATGGTTATGATCTGCCTTTCCAGGTTATCTGGTTTGGGAGCTTGGTAGAACTTGAATTGAATACCAAAGTAGTAGGGATATGTTGTGAAGCCAGTACTGAGGTTGGGGTAAACTCTACAAAGGCATAGCAGTTTAATGATATGCTCTGACCACCAGTGTTGGTCTCGGTCATAGCGATACCAGGTCAGCTGTAAGAATAGGATACAGAAGATTCTAGAAGGTTTAGTACAAGGTCAAAGGTTCTCCATATGAGTGAACCACTTTAAAGACTTAGTGACTATGGCATATTTGAACCAGTATCGACCGAGGCATCTTGGTAGCTATAGGTAAGTAGGTGAATATGAGAACAGAGTAGTTAAATAGAGAACTTATAAGCAGGTTTCAGATATGGCTGCTAGTGTAAAATCTTTGAGCAGACTACTTAAATTAGACAATGACTAAAGTTGTACAAGTGGCTAGTTGTATACTCTTTCCATGATTGCCCTCTGTGGTTGTAATACAACCATTAGCTGAATGTACTATCAATAAAATTCTGGGTCGCAAGTACTCACCTTAATATTTAAAAAAAAAAAAAAAAACTAATTTTATTTATTTCTTAAATCATTCAAGTTTAGCAGACAAATTTGGCTACTGAAATAATTAATGAAAAGATAAACCTTAAGTAAAATTTTTTTATTGCAATCAGGAATTTTACCTAAAATGGACAGTGTAGATCACACCTTATATAGTATAAAAATGTCAATTACATGATTCTAGATTATTTAGTTGTATGAAAATCACATATAATTGACTAATCAAATTTAACTACAATAAAATTTAAGAATTTTTATTTATTAACTAAAGAAGTTAGTTTTTATTTACCTTTTTTATAATAATTTATTACAAGAAATAAAATAGGATTATTTAAAGTAGACATCTTATATTAGCTATTCATATATTATTTAATATTAAATAAATATAATGATAAAAAATATTACATAAATAATCAAATTTATAGAATAAAACAAAGATCATTCTAGAATGTAATTTTCTAATTTAGTAAAATCTCTAACTGTATTGAAAAACAAATTAAAATTGGCTAGAGTAATATATAAGAACTTGGATCATATAATTGTGCAACAGTTATATCATTGCACATATTATATAATACAAATAAAAGATGTAAATTTAAATTATTTAAAAAATGATATGTTTTTATTAAAGAGTATTTTGTTAAATCAAAGCTTCTAGATCAATTTAAAAAAAATTTTTTTTTTGTTAAAAACCATACTTTGTAGCAATACTTTATTGACTTTTATTAAGTTAGTTATTACAACTATTTTTACAAAGATGAAAGTATAACTAGTCATGTATGCAACTTTTGGTGGCTTATTAAGTAGTTTACTCTAAGGTTCTATATTAGATGTCATACTTATAACCTACTAGAAAATTATCTATTTAAACTTTTTGATCATCTACTCTGTTATAATATAATCTCAACTAATCTCATATATATCTAACTGATATATTGTCTGAGCAATATGGTATCTATTCTTTTTGTACTAGTTTTCAAGTCATTATACATTTTAGAGTATATTACCTACTAGTAAGGTGCAGGGGACTTCTTGTTGTTAACTATCTACTCACTTTTAAAATACTAACAAGAGTTACCTTTACAGAGTTTATCCAGACCCTAGCACTGATTTTACAGTGACCTTATAAAAGAAAAATAGCTAAAACCAAGTCTCAAGTACATAAAGAAATTTCATATATAAACAATATTCTAAATCAAATTTTAGAAAGACTTGAGAGATTAAAAGACATAAGAGGTACAATAAAAGGAAGTCTGGCCTATCACTTCTGAGGGTGTCCTGGTTGAATCAATGAGTATAAACCAAAAGATTGAAGAGCTTCTGTATAGAGAAAAAAGAAATTTTAAAAAAAGCAACATGAAAACATCTTCTGATTATATAAAAAAAATAAAGAAAAAAGAAAAAAAAGAAAAGTAAATATAGAAACACAACATAAATATTTAAAAGAAAAATAAAAATAAGAAAAAAAATAAATCAAAATTGCATATCACAACATTAACAAACTTAAAACCAGGGATTGAAAGTTTGAAAATCTTATAAAATAGGCAAGTAAAGAAAAATTCACAATAGTAAGAATAACAGAAATAAATATTACAGAAAAGAAAATGAAGTTTTTATTATATAAGTACAGTACACAGTATAAGGGTTACTAGACTAGTGCAGCAACAGACAAGAAAACAAAAATCAAACATAGAAATATTAATAGATAAAAGATAAGAAAAGCATGTAAAAGCAGTCAAAAAATTAGTAAATACTTGCTAGAAGTGAGATTACTGTATATTTTAAACAACTATAACTAATAGTATTAGAAGTATATATTTTACCAAATGACAAATTGATCAATAAGAAAATTCAGCAAAGAATTATAATGATAGTAACAACCAAAAAAAGATGTACAGAAATAGTTATATTAGATGACTTCAATTACACAGTAGATAACATACTAGATAAACAATACTTACAAATATCAAGCTATAAAAGACTACTAGTATTTAGCTGGCTCAAAAGACAGGACTTTGTAAACTCATTTAGAAACATGTATTTGGCAAAAGAAGCATATATATAGTCAAATCAGAAGACTTAACAAGAATATATTACATCTGGCTATTAGAAACATTTGCATCAGACTTATAAAAAGTGGACATAGAAGAAGCAAAAGGTCTAACAGATAGTGATTACAAAATAATAACAACAAAGATATAAATAGAACATATAATTGCAAACTGTAACAAGGCAAAAACCAAACATAAAAACCAAATAAAAATAATATATTTATATAATAAGACAAAACAAAAGAACTGGAAAGAATATGCAAAAGAGCTACAAAATCAGCTAAAATAAAAAAAAGTATTAAGTTAATTGAAAAATATCAAAGCAAAAATAGATTATAATACAAATAGGCTTGATCAAATGTGAAATACAATAGAAGAGGCTATAATTGAAGCAACAAATAAGCAAATTCTGAAGAAAAAGATATTTAACACAAAGGTGAATAAAAGACAAGACCAGAACAAGCCAAAATAAAGCTAACATATTATTAAACTTTAACAAATAATTAAGAAAACAAAAAGTATAAAAAATCAAAATATAAAAAAAGAAGAAGAAATCAAAATGAATAATAAACTAAAAAATATAGAGAAAGAGTTAGAAGTAATATTACCAAAACTAAACAAACAATAGTCAGAGGCCTGGATAGATAATATTAAAGATTGGCAAAAAATAATTAAAAAGACAAGAAGAAATGAATAGGAACAGACACAGAAAAAACAAATAAAAAAAAACATAAACAGAAGATGCAAAATGATTAAAACTGATCAAGAATGAATGATTTGCAG